GAATGCAGATTTTTAGAGAATTGCGCCAGAAACATTTAGAGGTATGCCACTTCAAAATCCGATTAATATAAGTTGAGTTGTGGAGTTTAGAACTTCAGTCTGGGGACATTTCTTAGTAATCTTGAATTTCTACATCAGAAAAATGACAAAAAAATTTAAAAAAAAAATTTTTTTAAATTTGGATGCAGATTTTTAGAGAATTGCGCCAGAAACATTTAGAGGTATGCCACTTCAAAATCCGATTAATATAAGTTGAGTTATGGAGTTTAGAACTTCAGTCTGGGGACATTTCTTAATAATCTTGAATTTCTACATCAGAAAAATGATAAAAAATTAAAAAAAAATTTTTTTCTAAATTTGGATGCAGATTTTTAGAGAATTGCGCCAGAAACATTTAGAGGTATGCCACTTCAAAATCCGATTAATATAAGTTGAGTTATGGAGTTTAGAACTTTAGCCTGGGGACATTTCTCAGTATTCTTGAATTTCTACAACATCATAACATCAGAAAAATGACAAAAACTTAAAAAAAAAAAAATTTCTAAATTTTGATGCAGATTTTTAGAGAATTGCGCCAGAAACATTTAGAGGTATGCCACTTCAAAATCCGATAAATATAAGTTGAGTTATGGAGTTTAGAACTTTAGCCTGGGGACATTTCTCATTATTCTTGAATTTCTACATCATAACATCAGAAAAATGACAAAAACTTAAAAAAAAAAAAATTTCTAAATTTTGATGCAGATTTTTAGAGAATTGCGCCAGAAACATTTAGAGGTATGCCACTTCAAAATCCGATTAATATAAGTTGAGTTATGGAGTTTAGAACTTCAGTCTGGGGACATTTCTTAGTAATCTTGAATTTCTACATCAGAAAAATGACAAAAAATTAAAAAAAAAAAAATTTCTAAATTTTGATGCAGATTTTTAGAGAATTGCGCCAGAAACATTTAGAGGTATGCCACTTCAAAATCCGATTAATATAAGTTGAGTTATGGAGTTTAGAACTTCAGTCTGGGGACATTTCTTAGTAATCTTGAATTTCTACATCAGAAAAATGACAAAAAAATTAAAAAAAAAAAATTTTTTAAATTTGGATGCAGATTTTTAGAGAATTGCGCCAGAAACATTTAGAGGTATGCCACTTCAAAATCCGATTAATATAAGTTGAGTTATGGAGTTTAGAACTTCAGTCTGGGGACATTTCTTAGTAATCTTGAATTTCTACATCAGAAAAATGACAAAAAAATGAAAAAAAAAATTTTTTTAAATTTGGATGCAGATTTTTAGAGAATTGCGCCAGAAACATTTAGAGGTATGCCACTTCAAAATCCGATAAATATAAGTTGAGTTATGGAGTTTAGAACTTTAGCCTGGGGACATTTCTCATTATTCTTGAATTTCTACATCATAACATCAGAAAAATGACAAAAACTTAAAAAAAAAAAAATTTCTAAATTTTGATGCAGATTTTTAGAGAATTGCGCCAGAAACATTTAGAGGTATGCCACTTCAAAATCCGATTAATATAAGTTGAGTTATGGAGTTTAGAACTTCAGTCTGGGGACATTTCTTAGTAATCTTGAATTTCTACATCAGAAAAATGACAAAAAAATTAAAAAAAAAAAATTTTTTAAATTTGGATGCAGATTTTTAGAGAATTGCGCCAGAAACATTTAGAGGTATGCCACTTCAAAATCCGATTAATATAAGTTGAGTTATGGAGTTTAGAACTTCAGTCTGGGGACATTTCTTAGTAATCTTGAATTTCTACATCAGAAAAATGACAAAAAAATGAAAAAAAAAATTTTTTTAAATTTGGATGCAGATTTTTAGAGAATTGCGCCAGAAACATTTAGAGGTATGCCACTTCAAAATCCGATTAATATAAGTTGAGTTATGGAGTTTAGAACTTCAGTCTGGGGACATTTTTAGATTTTAGATTTTTAGATTTTTAGAGAATTGCGCCAGAAACATTTAGAGGTATGCCACTTCAAAATCCGATTAATATAAGTTGAGTTATGGAGTTTAGAACTTCAGTCTGGGGACATTTCTTAGTAATCTTGAATTTCTACATCAGAAAAATGACAAAAAATTAAAAAAAAAAAAATTTCTAAATTTTTATGCAGATTTTTAGAGAATTGTGCCAGAAACATTTAGAGGTATGCCACTTCAAAATCCGATTAATATAAGTTGAGTTGTGGAGTTTAGAACTTCAGTCTGGGGACATTTCTTAGTAATCTTGAATTTCTACATCAGAAAAATGACAAAAAAATTTAAAAAAAAAATTTTTTTAAATTTGGATGCAGATTTTTAGAGAATTGCGCCAGAAACATTTAGAGGTATGCCACTTCAAAATCCGATTAATATAAGTTGAGTTATGGAGTTTAGAACTTCAGTCTGGGGACATTTCTTAGTAATCTTGAATTTCTACATCAGAAAAATGATAAAAAATTAAAAAAAAATTTTTTTCTAAATTTGGATGCAGATTTTTAGAGAATTGCGCCAGAAACATTTAGAGGTATGCCACTTCAAAATCCGATTAATATAAGTTGAGTTATGGAGTTTAGAACTTTAGCCTGGGGACATTTCTCAGTATTCTTGAATTTCTACAACATCATAACATCAGAAAAATGACAAAAACTTAAAAAAAAAAAAATTTCTAAATTTTGATGCAGATTTTTAGAGAATTGCACCAGAAACATTTAGAGGTATGCCACTTCAAAATCCGATAAATATAAGTTGAGTTATGGAGTTTAGAACTTTAGCCTGGGGACATTTCTCATTATTCTTGAATTTCTACATCATAACATCAGAAAAATGACAAAAACTTAAAAAAAAAAAAATTTCTAAATTTTGATGCAGATTTTTAGAGAATTGCGCCAGAAACATTTAGAGGTATGCCACTTCAAAATCCGATTAATATAAGTTGAGTTATGGAGTTTAGAACTTCAGTCTGGGGACATTTCTTAGTAATCTTGAATTTCTACATCAGAAAAATGACAAAAAATTAAAAAAAAAAAAATTTCTAAATTTTGATGCAGATTTTTAGAGAATTGCGCCAGAAACATTTAGAGGTATGCCACTTCAAAATCCGATTAATATAAGTTGAGTTATGGAGTTTAGAACTTCAGTCTGGGGACATTTCTTAGTAATCTTGAATTTCTACATCAGAAAAATGACAAAAAAATTAAAAAAAAAAATTTTTTAAATTTGGATGCAGATTTTTAGAGAATTGCGCCAGAAACATTTAGAGGTATGCCACTTCAAAATCCGATTAATATAAGTTGAGTTATGGAGTTTAGAACTTCAGTCTGGGGACATTTCTTAGTAATCTTGAATTTCTACATCAGAAAAATGACAAAAAAATGAAAAAAAAAATTTTTTTAAATTTGGATGCAGATTTTTAGAGAATTGCGCCAGAAACATTTAGAGGTATGCCACTTCAAAATCCGATAAATATAAGTTGAGTTATGGAGTTTAGAACTTTAGCCTGGGGACATTTCTCATTATTCTTGAATTTCTACATCATAACATCAGAAAAATGACAAAAACTTAAAAAAAAAAAAATTTCTAAATTTTGATGCAGATTTTTAGAGAATTGCGCCAGAAACATTTAGAGGTATGCCACTTCAAAATCCGATTAATATAAGTTGAGTTATGGAGTTTAGAACTTCAGTCTGGGGACATTTCTTAGTAATCTTGAATTTCTACATCAGAAAAATGACAAAAAAATGAAAAAAAAAATTTTTTTAAATTTGGATGCAGATTTTTAGAGAATTGCGCCAGAAACATTTAGAGGTATGCCACTTCAAAATCCGATTAATATAAGTTGAGTTATGGAGTTTAGAACTTCAGTCTGGGGACATTTCTTAGTAATCTTGAATTTCTACATCAGAAAAATGACAAAAAATTAAAAAAAAATTTTTTTCTAAATTTGGATGCAGATTTTTAGAGAATTGCGCCAGAAACATTTAGAGGTATGCCACTTCAAAATCCGATTAATATAAGTTGAGTTATGGAGTTTAGAACTTTAGCCTGGGGACATTTCTCAGTATTCTTGAATTTCTACAACATCATAACATCAGAAAAATGACAAAAACTTAAAAAAAAAAAATTTCTAAATTTTGATGCAGATTTTTAGAGAATTGCGCCAGAAACATTTAGAGGTATGCCACTTCAAAATCCGATAAATATAAGTTGAGTTATGGAGTTTAGAACTTTAGCCTGGGGACATTTCTCATTATTCTTGAATTTCTACAACATCATAACATCAGAAAAATGACAAAAAAATAAAAAAAAAAAATTATTTTTAATTTGGATGCAGATTTTTAGAGAATTGCGCCAGAAACATTTAGAGGTATGCCACTTCAAAATCCGATTAATATAAGTTGAGTTATGGAGTTTAGAACTTCAGTCTGGGGACATTTCTTAGTAATCTTGAATTTCTACATCAGAAAAATGACAAAAAATTAAAAAAAAAAAAATTTCTAAATTTTTATGCAGATTTTTAGAGAATTGTGCCAGAAACATTTAGAGGTATGCCACTTCAAAATCCGATTAATATAAGTTGAGTTATGGAGTTTAGAACTTCAGTCTGGGGACATTTCTTAGTAATCTTGAATTTCTACATCAGAAATATGACAAAAAATTAAAAAAAAAAAAATTTCTAAATTTTTATGCAGATTTTTAGAGAATTGCGCCAGAAACATTTAGAGGTATGCCACTTCAAAATCCGATTAATATAAGTTGAGTTATGGAGTTTAGAACTTCAGTCTGGGGACATTTCTTAGTAATCTTGAATTTCTACATCAAAAAAATGGCAAAAGATTACAAAAAAAATAAATTTCTAAATTTTTATGCAGGTTTTTAGAGAATTGCGCCAGAAACATTTAGAGGTATGCCACTTCAAAATCCGATTAATATAAGTTGAGTTATGGAGTTTAGAGCTTCAGCCTGGGGACATTTTATTTAACATTAACATTATTAGTGCATCTTACCTTTCCGATGAGTATGCATAGTCCTGATCGGCTCCCAATCCGGAGTCAGTGTGCTCGTGGGACACTCGCAGAGCCGAGTTCTCCAAAGGACTCAGATTGGAGCCAGTGGGCGAGATAAAGTCACCCATGCTCATGCTGGACATCATTCTGAAGTTGGATAATCCACATACATTTCCCACATTTGCAAGGACATTTCCTCCATCTCCTTCACTCACCTAACTAGACCATTATTCCTTTCACACTCCCTTGAAGATATAGTGCTGGCCGACCGGATGGATCCATTCTTAGGCGCATGTCCTCCAGCTCCAGGACCTCCGTTGGCTTCGTGTGGATGCGTGCTTTGATAGTAAAGTCTACAATTATGTACATGAGTTAAGTGTGAGCTGATAACTAATCAGACTAGAAACTAAAAACGTTTCACTTTAGAGATTGACTCTTACCTATTTATTAGTAATTTAGTGATTGGATAACGGGTACTTACCCCCTGATGCGATCGACGCGATTCCTGGCCTGACCAGCATTTCCCGATCCACTGCCATTGGTAATGGTGTTGCCGGATCCCGTACTCTTGGCTCCCACACTGCTCTTGCTGTTGCTCTTGTGGATCTTCAGGTTAGAGTTGGACCTCTTCGAGGTGGTCTCTACCACCGTGTAGGGAATCTCGCGTAACTGCTGCTCCGACATGCCCTCCGTGTCCACCAGATCGAATTGTAGGTGCTTCGCCAGCTCACTGTTCCACATGCGGCTTCGTGATTCCGATGGGGATCTATTTTCATTAAAAAATTTTAAATAATCATTTAATTAGTTGAAAAGAAATGTATATATACTGAGTTGCATCCTGAATAGAGTGTACATTCTACTTTTCTCGTTATACTCACTTGTTTTTGCGATGCCTTCTGGATTTGTGGTGCGAATGGGTGTCCGAGTGGCTATCGTTGCTGTGGAGACTCCTGGCCACTATGCTGCTCTTGGAAACAGCTGCCTGCTGCACGGAACTCTGGCCCAAGCTGGCCTCCGCCTGGCGTCGTTGCACTTCCCTCCACTGGGATGTGGAGTCTATAAGCTCAGCACTTCCACTCCTCATCGAGGAGCTGCGATGACCGGAGTAGCTGCGCCCTCGTGTGCTATCGTGATCGGATCCTCCGGCTGAATCCCTTCGATGTCGGTGCGAACGGCGGTGCTTGCGATGATGCGAGCGTCCTGATCTTCCAGACCGACCTGATCCTCTGGAAAGCTCGCTTTCATTATCTGAGGTGCGACGATGACGGTGCTTATGCCTTAAATTTGAAAAGTACTCGTATGAATATGTTTTTCCGGTTATAATGAATTGCAAATTCGGAAGGTCAAACATTAAATTAAGTATGTTCCACGATAAGATACGTGGAAATGCCAAATTTGATACGCATAAAAATTGGGAAATTCTAATTCCCTTGCGAAATTCAGATATTTGCAGATAAGATAAATAGACAAATTTAATCAGTAAGCACTCACTTTCGAGCAACCACTCAAACGAGGCGCATGCCCTAGGATGTCCAAGTCGATAGGCTTCAAGGGGTCTTAAAATGTCACATATACTGGACTCTATCTTAACCTTCTAAAGTTCACTAAGTGTTGACGACCTTAATTCATCTGGTTTGATAAAATTCGCACGCGTCGCATTTATCTAACTTCATCCTAAGATTCACAGCGGATGCCCTTTCAAACTAAACTTGGTGAAACCAAGGTCAGAAGTCTACACAGTAATCACAGTTGATGGGTTTGGATACGATACCACGGCATGGCATTCAAGTTAAATATAAATTCTTTAGAAATTCGAGTCTCGAAAGTAATTGGTAATCTTTAAAGTACTTCTATACTTTAGCTTGTCATTAAGAAGGAAACTTACTTGCGCGTGGACCTCGAGTCGTTGGAGGAGTGGCTCTCCACGGAACTGGAGCGGTATCTCTGCTGCTGATGGGAGGCGGATGAGGAGCTGGCCCGCTGCTGTCGGTGGTGGTGTTGCGAGGACGAGGAGGTGGCCCCCGCTGTCGAGGATTGGTGGTGCGGATGGTGGCTGGTACCGTGGCCGTGGCTGTGGTGGCTGTGATGGTGGTGCAGCCCACCGCCTGCCGTACTCGCGGATCTCACGGATCGCGGACTCGACGGATTGTGCCCGAAGAGGGATCGCTGCTGGGATCTGGGCCAGGGAGCACTCCGGGTGCTCCTCGGGGAGTCAGGCGTTTGCAGGTTGCCGCCGCTGTTGTTGTTGTAGCTGCTGGAGTTGTTGTTCTGCTGCTGATGGCAAGGTCTGATGCCCAAAGTGGTGGGTATGCTGTAGGTGGAGCGATAGGGGCTGTCGTAGTTGCTATTCATCGGCGGTGGAGAGGGAGTGGGGGATGAAAGAGATTAAAGGCGGGGGATCAGTCATCGCGATCTCGCATTATTTTGCCATAAATTTAAATTGTTTAACATAAACGTTGATTAAAGTCCGCGGCATGGAAGGCCATTTAGGCTGTCCAGGCTGTTCAGCCTGTCCAGGCTGTCCAATTCGATCTGGGGAGGCAACTGAGCAACTGAGCTCCTCCAACCATGCCACCATGCCACGAGATCGACACAGACAAATAATGCGCGTGTGCAAAATTGAGTAATTGCCGCACTGGCAATCAGCGGGCAATCATTTTGTACTCTCAGGAGTCGTCGCTTCAGTCCAGTTCGGTTAAGCTCAGTTCCACTGAGGATCCCAGAAAACCCAGAACGTGCCTGGTGATTTATGCTCCCTGGGATGCAGCGATCTGTGATCTGTGATTTGTGATCTGGCATCTGGGATCTGGAAAGCGTGGTGTGGTGGCAGGGATCGGCTGCCTGATTGGCCTGATGTTTGGGCTTCTCTTTGTTTGCAAATGATAAATGACGCGGGCTATTTGCTCATCCCGGGTCTTCCAGGCCCAGGAATCCAGCGATTACGATTGGCTTCTATTACCTTATTTAGAGCCTCACCTGAGCGTGTAATTTATGCACGGATGGTGGGCAAACACTTACACTGGACAGCTGGAAACGCTGGCTGGTAATTGTCCAATTCAAGTGCTTCTTGGGATCGCTTTCGATTAGTCTCTACAACGGAGTATACACTCCCTGACTATAAATCGCCTGGCATGACTCAATTTCCCCCGAAACTTCTATGATTTTTATTTGTCCATATAATTTGATGTTCGCAACCATAAAACATTTAATAAATGCTGCGTCTAGACAATGTAACTGCCTTCGAAATGGCAACTAAATGGATTTTGAACACGAATTCGAAACAGAACCCACAGTGCCACAGTGCCAGAGTGCCGGAGGGCACTTGAGCCGGGACAATGCCAAGGAGCTTCTATCTATGTATCCTGTTTGTCCTGTCAAACGCAAACGCAGGCGGAAAAGGCGGGGAATGATGAAGTGCTCCGGCTGCATTCCTCTCAAATTGAACCCGGCGATTTCGAATAGCAATAGCCATACCGAAAAATATATGTTTGAAAATTAAAAAGAGATCAAAGGCGAGTCCTCTCCAACGAGCCACATGAGAGCTCTTCCGGCGCGCCAGCTCCCAAAAATGATTACTAAAAAGCAAAAAAGGACTTGGCGGCCAAAAAAAGGACTTGGCCGGAAAAAAGGACAACTACGTCAAAGGAAGCAGCTGCCGCACATAAATGGGTAAAATACGAAACGCGAGGGTACTACACATGGGCGGACGGGTAAATCAAAACTTTTGTGCTTGGAATGAAAACAAATGATGGGCATTCTGGAGTACTCACTTGGAGATGGTGCCCATTCCCGGTTGGGGCAGCGGCCTGTTGCCCATGTGGCTGCCGCCTCCTAATGTTCCCGCTCCACTTGCTCCATTGCCATTGCCGTGGCCATTCCCGTTCCCGCTCCCGTTCCCATTCCCATTTCCATGGCCGTTGCTGTTAAAAAAGTCATCAATCACGCGGCGCGGCTGGCGCTTCGAGGGAGTTCGGGTGAAGGCGGGCGGCGATCGTCCGGCGGAAAGTGCATCCTTCTCCGTTTGCTTGTCCGGGCGACTTTGGGTGTGGTTCGATGGGTTCGGGGTTGGCAGACATGCGGTGGTGGTGGTGGTGGTGGTGTTGGGCAACATAAAAGTAGGCATAAAGGCGTCCAAAAATATTAACAACCAAAATGGGAAAATGTGAAAAACAAAAAGGAAAGCGAGAGTACGGATCATAGAAGACGCTAATAATGAACAGTGAACCATAAAAAGGTTGTAAAGCACACACAGCCAAATAAAATAAAAGCCCTGGAACTGCGAAACTTTCATTTGTTTCTCAAATTAAAAACGTTCTGTTCTTGGGGCAGTCATAAAATGAGCCGACGCCCCTAAAAAAACTTTGTTTTTGGCCACTGGAAATGCCCTGCCAGGCAAGTTAATAGTTTCACTGAGTTACTGTTGGCCACGTGAACTCCATTTTGAGTCCGGGCGCAAGAAAGTTTACCGCACCAACTAAATGGTCAGCCGCAGTCACCGCAAATGTCCAGTCATAAACATGAAGGACCTGAAGCCCCAGAGTTCCCCTGCATCCCCTCGATTCCCTGGATACCCTCGATTTCCTGCCACATTCGTCATGCACAATTGCCTGCATTTGGTGAGCCAGCAGCTTAGAGCCGCCTTTTCGCAGAAAGTCATTAGTGGGCTTTGCACTCGAGTTGCTTTTTGGCTGACTGCCCGAAGGCCTCCTAATCCCAATCCCCAGCTCCAGCTCTAGCTCCAGCTCCATCCACATCCCCATCTGTATGCCAAGTACCCCTGCAGATCCGACATTTTTATTGGACTTCCAATTAGTTGACCATGCAGGCGATGGCGTAAACTTGATCTATGAACACTGGTCGGGTTGCACTGCATCTGGATCTGCTTCTGTTTGGATTTGACTGGGCCAGAGATGAGCTCTAATTGGTCCGGCGGGAAACTCGAGAAGCTGACACGCGAACTTGGTTCATTTTGGCGTTTTCAGGGGTCTTCTTTGAAACTGGAGTGGCCCGTCATTGCGGCCGTACTTGATGGCAATAAGTCTTGGATTCGGCTAATACTCGATTTATTAGGAGTCTTAAAAAAAACAGAGCTAAGTTATTTATTTAAATGCCCCATTTTTGCAGTAATAGTTGGCCATTGGCATGGCCGATATGCCCGAACATATTTGTAGGAAATTGAACTCTTGGAATGCCGCATCTAGCCATCTATCCTCTCAAGAACCAACTCACTTGTTCGCTTCGAGTCCAGCCCAATTTCTCCACTCGAGCTGCCCCTTAATGAGCTAATCACATGAGGTGCACTTTGAGGCCAGGGATTGAACTCGAGTGTCTGGGCCATTGAAATTCGTTACGTCTTAATTGGCTGCGCTTTTGGGTTTGGCCAATAAATTAGGCAACGCTGCACCAGGGGGTTTTCTTTTTTGGCTTAACAACTCCATCTGATGGGCGGAGCACACACGACTGCACCCACAGGAACTTCCTGGAGTGTTCCCGGTACTCGCCGACACTCCAGTATTTCTGGCCACTTGGATGGCCTGTGTTACTCACCTGTGCCTGAAGCGCGATCCCAGTTGGAACAAATCGGCGGCATGCGACTGCGAACTGGGCAGAGGGGCCACTCGCACCTGCCTGAAGAAGGCATGGTGTTCCACGCAGCAGCGCCATAAGTGTTTGCAGGCCGACTTGCGAGGCGTCTCGAATCCGTAGGTGCTCAGCTCGTTCTGCGGGAAACAGGAACAGAATCCAATCGCAAAGGTGTGATAAGCACAAGAGTCGAGTCGAGTCACGATGGGAACTGGAAACTCGACTGGGATGTGCCGACAAAGAGGCGGATTGACTGAATGAATGCCCCTGTCGGTTTGCCCCCTCCCACCCATTCCCAACTGTAAAGTGCTGGCCAAAAAAAAAAAAACAAAAACTGGGCAGGAAAGGGGAAAAATCAAGGCGAAGGAGAATGCTTAAGTTTCCGCCTTTTGTGCGCGTCAACTGGCTGGGAAACTTTTTTGATTATCAAAGCGTTAACACCCGAAAGTGTGCAACTTTCGGCAGCTCCAGCCATTTGGCGTCCTCTATCTGCTATCTGCTACCAGAGCTACCATCTTCCATCTACCAGCTACTTGTTGTCTAACGAGTCCTCCTACGCTTTTGGCTCCTGGCGCCACTTGATGCCGCTGACAGCCAAAAGTTGTCGCCATAAGGAGCACATAGAAAAATTGGCGACACTGCAAAACGGGAATAAGAATAAGGAATTGAAAGCACTCGAAGGGAGCTATGGACTATCGGATACCCTGTTCACTTTTTAGGCGGATCTGCACTTCGGACGCTTAAGTACCCAATTACAAGAATACAGGTATAATGACTTCATAATTGAATTTAAGAATTGATTGCTTCGCTAATACTTAAATAAAATTATTATAGAACGTGTTAGTCAAATCAATCTTTAAGAATTGTAAAGGATCGAGATATGTAAGTGAATGGGTATAAGGTTGCAGGTCATCTACAAGCACGCCCAAAACTCTCTCAACTGCCAGATACTTCCTACTTTGTGACTTTGTGATAGGTCTACAACCCTTTAGTGCCAACTTTCGACCATTCACTCGCGGAACGAACTGCAAATTGTAAAAAGCACTTGTCGGCGAACAAATTTATGGCTGGGAGGGACTAGGAATTGGGGACACTCATCCACATCGTCACAGTGGCCATTGTCGTTTCGGGCTCGCAGCTAAGAGTTTACAGTTTTCCAGTTCCCATTGTCGCGTTGGGTGCGTTTGGGAATTTACATTTTTATCGCTTATCCTGAGCATAAAATAGCGTCCTTTATAATAAACTTTGGCAATGCGCGGCCAATAGTAATGAGCCACCGTCGTCTTGTTGCGCAGCACGACAATCCCGCTTGGAGTCAGGCCCAGGAAGTACTCCACGCTGTCCTCGCCCTGTGGGAAAAAGGGAAAAGTGGAAAAGTGTTGGGAAAAAGTAGAGAAAATGAGAAGCTGAGAAACTGAGAAACCGAGAAACTTTCGCAGGCAAAGGCGGGCGCAAAAGTTTCCTTTCGGCCATTGCCAAAAAATGTGTTAACAAGAAGAAAGTTTTCGCCCATTAGCAGCAGGCGGCATTTTTATGGATAGCGCGCTCCTATAATGCCGCCCAGAAAAAAGGCGAAATAAATGTAATTTCGGCTGTTAATTAAATTAAAAAGAAAAGGAAAACAGAACGAGAGAGCGGCAAAGCATATAAAAGACGGCGGTCTGGCGCCGCGATAGTCAATGATTTGTGTCTATAAACAAACACAAGGGGGTGGATATAGGCTTTATTGTGGCACATAACACATAGTCGTACACAGCACATACCACATGGAGTACAAGGGTTCGGGAGCCCCAACTCCACGCATGTATACAAACACAGCTGGTGATTTATTGAGGTTTGATATCAAAGTAAAGGGCAATAAAAAATGCAAATGAAGTGCCAACTTACGCAGCACAAAAGCGTAGACACACGAGACTCGCTTTTTGGGGGGTAATCATTCCCCCCTACCCCAATTGGGGACCCCACAGAAATGTGAGCAAATGATTTATAATATTTGCCCCGAAATGAAATTAAACTTTGCATTTCCCTCTGACCCCTTTTATGCGGCTGGTTGAACTGTACGTCGAAGACCGGCTGCCTGGTATGGTGAACCATCTGCGGTTTCGGACTTCGGGTCATATGAGGGAACTATCCATAGGTCGGTCCTATATGCCACCCCCATTTCAGCATTTCACCCGAGTTGGCTTGACACATGAGCAGCATCAGCACATTACTCACCAGAACGGGATGCAAATCCACGCCGTACATATCGTGCCATTTGACTTTGTCCAAATAGTTGAGCTCGGCACTGGAGGGCGACATTCCCTTCAGCTGCTGGTGGAGCTCGGAGACGCGGGTTTCCAGCTCGTTGCTCTGGTTAGGAAGCAGCCGGAACTCGGACACGTAGCCCTTCGAATGGCGCCGCTGATCGTAGTCGCCAAGTTCAGCTGGGGATGCAAACATGTATCTTTAAGTGGGCTTGTTTCCTTGCTTAAGATTACAAAAATATAGAGTGGCGTTCTTGGTAAATATAAGCACAAGTGACAAGACATATATCTTTGAATCAGTCAAAGGATACGGCCTAAAAATCAACTGGCATTTGCAAGGGGATGGTGTCCCATTGGCGTCCCATTACTTACATTGCACCACAAAGGCTCCCAGCTCGGCGGCCAGCTCAAAGGCCACAGGCAGTCGTCCCTGCAGAACATCCTGTTTGACTTGCAGGAAAAGTTGATACCTGCAAATGACAAATTTCATTAGCCAACATGGCAGCACAAAAAGCCGAAAACAAGGACCAGAAGCAGTTAACAAGTGGGCAAACAGAAATCTGGGCATAAAATTAGTTGATCCCCCTGAATGCTTGTCCAAAACAAACATTCGGCCGACTTGTTGACTTTGGGCGTAACATGGAAATCATGAAACGAAACAAATACTCGCAAATGGCAGATGGGTAGGCCGGTGGTAGGCATCATATTTCACAATTATTTGCTAAAATCAAGCGCAGTTTGAGCTTCAAGCTGCCTGTTTGCCTTAATCCCGTCCTGTCTGGCTGGAAATCCCCTCGTCGCTCGGAATTTGCAACTTTGTCCTGACCAAAGTCAATTGCCGTTTATTGTGCGCCGCAGACTTTGTATAGCTAAAATAACACGATATTCTTTGGCCCTAGTGCACTTCCAATAATGCAACGGCAATTGCATTGCCACGCCCCATCATGACGGTGATGGCCGCCCCTTTTCCACTTGGCTAGAAGTGCATTTCGATGCATTTATATGCGCTAATATTGGCAGTGGATTCAGTGGATTCAGCGGCAGTTGGCCGGGATTTTGATGATGTTTGGCCAATGGTTTCGCCGTCGCCCTGCGAATGATTATGGCCAACGTGTCGTCGTATGGAGAGCAAATATTTGCACACACCAAATGCTTGATAAATGCAGCAATCGCCCCCAGGATAACCAGACACCAGGACACCAGGACACCCGCACACCCGATGATGTGGCGATGAAAACCATTGCCACGGTCACATTTCCACATTTTCCCCCGGCATTCGCGACATTTGGCATTTTCCCTTCGGCCTGCTGGCCTTTTCCACTGGCGTTATTTTAATTTATTTCGCTTGATGTGCGCGCATAAATGCATTAATTGCTCGATGCATTATCCATTAGTTGAGTGGGCAGAGCGAGCTCATGGTTTTCAGCTCGTGCATCTCAATTCGCTTCATTTGTTGTTTATTGCATTATAATTATGCGTCTGTGTGCCTCAATTAACAAATTAAATTTGCCAAATTCAATTTACCGAATTTATGGCAGACCAAAGATGGGATGGCACAAATTAAATGCTTAAATTGTTAATGTCTGTGCGGACAAAAGGATATTTTTTAAATGCCCATCACAATCTGACTTCGACTTTAATGTTTACGAGTAATTCATTGAGAAGGGCTCAGTATGGTATATTGTATAGGATTGGTTGCCTCACCTGGTTATTTCCTCCAGCAGCTTGCAGGGATCGGCAGCGTAGAACTTCACACCGAAATACAAGTCATAGGGATCCGACTTGGGCTTGAGTTGACGGGAAATACGCGACGCAGGATCGAGCCAGTGCTGTGGGGAAATGCAAATGAGAGATAGATTCAACCAGGTGGTCGCACAAGAGTGTGTGTGAATGTGGATGAAGGACACCTCCGGCAGGACCAACGAAAGCGAAAATACCCAACCTGCCCCGCAGCCAAAGGACTCTCAAAGAGTTGCCAAAGTCTGGGTGCTGGGCTTTTTGTTTTCATTTTTCATCGCGCCTGAATGAATTTCAATGAAAACGAAAATGAATTTCCAAAACCAATATGTGTGCCCAGCGGAAGCGGTCTCCTTCACCTTTTTCCTTTCGGATCGTTTTTGCTCCACACGCTTACCGTCTGATTCTCCTCGTCTATGTAACGTATGCCGAAGTATGAGGTCTCGATTAAATTGAGCCTGGCGAAGACGACATCCAGCAGAGCCTGGCCGGGCAAATCATCCTGAAAATAGACAAGAAAATTGCTGTTAAAACAGAGCAGAGTCCTGGGGATAAACAGGAGGGATAAAGACAGGAGCGGCAGAGAGGCGGAGAGGCAAAGGCAAACACTGGAAACACTGGCAAACTGTTGAGCCATTGAATGGCCACAGACACGGCCCTCGCTTCCTTTTCCCTTTCGTCCTGCGCCCATTTTCCATCCAGTTGGCTAAGTCCTCCGCCGACAAAAGTGAAAACTTGCCAGTGACAATTATTCAATTGGAAAATTGCTGCCTTTTTTGTGAGCGCCTCTGCCTGCGAGAAAATAAATGTGGAAATAGCAAAATGGCCCGTTCTTCCTCTCGACCAAACAATTTATGGCAAATCGAAGGCGGCCAAAGTCGGGCAATCAACAATTTTTGCTGTTGGTTTAATTTAATTTGTTAAAGCTTTAAAATGCCAATTCCCTTTTTTTCGCCCCGTCTGTCGTCCAGTGGCAATAATAAATTGAGTTTGTTCTCTGGGGAGGTCTCGGAATCGAAAACGGATTCACCCCGAAAAGGTGGCCGCCGCCGCAGCTGCAGGAACCGCAAAAAAGCACCCAAACTATGGCCGTGGGGTGTGCTATTGTTAACCGCAAAGGCAGCTGCCACGCCCCCTGTTTACCGCCGCCCCCTGCGGCAGCCGATGCTCCTCCTCGATTGTCTGCAGCGTGTCTCATGTGCTACTCCGCTTTTTTTCGCTTTTTTTTTTCGCTTTTTTGCTTTTGGCCAACTGTCCAGCAGACACTGACTTTTGCCTTTTGTTGTTTGCTCGACCCGCTGCCATGTTTTATTTATGGTATTTCTGCCTGGTCGAAGGATCCCTTTGGGCCATCCGCCATTCGCCATCCGCATCCACGTACACAGCCACAGCCACATACACAGCCACGTCCTTGTACACATCCATATCCTGCACACGGCATTTCCCTTCGCATGCATATTGGCCAGCTTTATTGTTGTTGCGTAATAAACTTAATGGCTGGCAAGTGTGAACACACTGGGATTCCGGGAGTGGGAACTCGGTGTAACTGCCAGTTTGCTCGGAATTCCGTGCTGAACTCGTTTTGAATTTATGTTAAACATTCTGCTGACCTCGGACTTTGAGGCCGAAATCGAGCTGCTTAACTCGCCGTCTGGGAATTGTAAATGCCAAAACATGGAGTCCAAGTTGGGATGCTGCCGATGTATCAAATGATATTTGATACACATTGTCGGGGAATGTTTGCCACATGCCTATATTTATAAAGTTGTTTCCTCTACTCCATCAAGCAATACTCTATTTCCATCTCAGTAAAACAATGAATGTGATTACACATCTTTAGTGGCACTGCGAAATGTTTTCGGTCTGCCCAATAACCATTTACCTTGCAGCATTGCCAAAACAAACCGAGATCCCTCCCAGTGGATAGGAGGAATAATCTCCGCATGAGAGCTCATTCCGCATCAAAAAGTCGAGCAGAGTTGAGTTTTGCATGAGCTCCGAGCCGCAGGACGAGAATGCGAGTGTGTGAGTGTGTGAGTGAGCACGGTGCACGGACTCGTGTGCGTGTGTGTCAAAAACTAATTGCATTTGTGCCGACTGCATTAGATGACAGTCGTTAACAGGACGAAGTGACACAGTGACAGTGAAGTGACATCGGCAGTGGCAAAGTGAACGTGATGCTGCAGCTGGGCAGGACATCAAATTTGTACTCTGGTCCTGCAGCTCAAATTGCATTACAAATACGTGGAGTGAACGTGGGCAAGGACATTAAGACAATGGTCTGTGAAATTTTCTACACAAGTCGAGTCCTTATTCTTGTCATCCTTGCTCCGAAAGCTCTTGTTCCAGCTGGCACCGCTGGAGTCGACTTTGCTGTCAATGCTTTTACCATAAAACACAAAACACGAGAAGAAAAGTGCATTTTAAAAATGCATAAGAAACATGAGCGCTCATCATATTGTCGGTTGCCGTTTACTTACTGAGAGCAGCTAATAATGCATGTGCACGTAAATGGAATTCCAAATGAGGCAAAAGCGAGTGAAATAACATTCCTTAAAGTGTGCCGAAAGCAAGTGAGCCATCCTTATCGATCTGGATTGGATGCTTATTGGATGCCGTACCTTTCAGGAATCCCTGCCAGTAGACACCCCCCGTTGGCAACCAGCCTAATGAACTAGTCGTTCAGCGCCTAAGTTATGGCCAGAAATCAACGTATACATGGAAGGACCGCAATTAATCACATGGGTTTTGCCGGAAAAACTTGTGCAAACGAAAGTGTTTTGGGTCCCAAAGGTTTTCCACGTTCAGACAAACGATTTTGGGGGCGGAAACATTCCCCCAGCTTCAACGCCAATTTCCACACAACTCACTCACTGATAGAGTTCAATAAATTAGATTTTCCTCGAACCAGTGACGTAGATGATGTCTGGGGCATCAAAGGATGAAGGCTATGGATGATCCTGATGCTGACATCGCAGCAAATGGCAGTCGAGGAGGAAAAAACAAAAAAAATAGAAAAAATAGAAAAAATTAAGAAGACGCCGGATGTGCCTTACGATGATTATGTTGATGCTAATGATGATTAGGTCTTTGGCTAAAATGTCTTAATCAAATTATGCTTACTTTGATGTTGCTGGAAGGACCCACGCCTGCCTCGGAGCCACAGGACATCGAATCCTGGCCAAGTACACTTAATGAGCTTACATTTTTCGCCACCCCCCGCCGCCGACTGGCTCTCAACCTCGATTGCCTGCTTTTCTTGTCAGCTGACGGCAACACCAGAGCAAAAAGGAGGAAGTTTTTGCCATGCAACTTAATTAGAGAACGCCAAGTGGTAAACCGGAAAATATAGCACACATGTCTGGCCACCAGCCAGCCCTAAACAACTTCCCATTTTTCCACCCCCGGGGGACACTTTTCGGTGGAGAGGCAAAAATCCCAGCACCGCGTTCCGGCTAAAACGTAATCAGCGTCTTGGCAAACTTTAACGACGTGACTAACCCAATTTCGGCCTTTTACGCTGCAAGTCGCCGGGCTTTAATATGATTAGCACGTGTTTTATGTTTTCAAAGGATGAGCTCCCCAAACACACGTGCTTGTCAAAACTACTTGAAATTAACTTGACTTCATGAAAAATAGTTGCACATGCTTGGGCAGCGTTTTTCACAGATCAAATAAATATGTGAAATATATATTTGTAGATAGGTAATTCTTAACTTTAAAGTCTAGTGCTACACTTCATCCGCCTCCGTGGTTTCATCCAGCCCAGTCAGATTACATCGCATTCCTGTGTAAGCTCATTTGCTGCCATTTAAACTGCAAGGCGGCTAACAAGAAACGCCAGCTTATTGCCCTTGCAGGAGCAAATAAAAACAAAGCTGGCTGAAATGGAAAATAAGAAGTGAGTCCGAGTCGTCGGCAATGGGGGTCAGGTCAGATGCTGGAGCTGATGCTCGACTCGGCATCTGCCCCCAAAAGGTTCTGCCATCCACGGGTCGTATACTTAATGCCCTCCATGCCATGTGAGCTGTGTCTGTGTGCGTTTTAGCCCCGCCAATTGCATTGTGCGTATAATTGCGATGCTTGGCTTAAACGAGCGCTGACCTCTGACAACAAAAAATGCACACAACTCTCGGTGGAAAAAAGCGAGAAACGAAAAACCCAAAACAAAAACAAAAACCAGAAGCAGAGAGCTGCATTCGTTTGTGTTTATAACGGCATTATGAGTCTTAAGCTCAGGGCTGAAATAGGAGGAACAAAAATAAAAGCCAGAAAGAGCCAACAAACGGGGCTAAAACAGAGAAACGGAGTGAGTGCAATGTCACAGACAAAACGGCGACAAAATGAAAGAAAAGCAATGGCAGCAACATCGTGTCGTCGTTATGCACAAAAAGCAGGCAGCCTTTCCAAATGCTAAAGCAGATTTATGTCTGCTCCTCACCCCAGCCCCTCTCCCCCCTCTTCACCCCTCTGGGGAACCCCCTTTTGGGGGCCGGGATCCACCCTGCTCATCCCATATTGGCGCATCTTCACCTAACTGAAAAACACATTCAACAAACGAGATTTGCGTAATTCCTGCAGCTCAGCGCCGAAGAGAAGGTTCCTCAACTCAACTCGAGTCGTCTCGGTTTTTCCTTTTTTTTATTTGCTTTTTTTGTTGTTTGCCGGCTGCTTGTTCTTCGCAATGTTTGTTGTCAGTCGGTTTGCTGTTCTTGTTGCTGTTGTTGTCGCAGTGGATGCTGCCTTTTGAGATTCCTGTACCGTGTGTTATAGCTATACCCTGCACCAGGTGCGAACAGCGTTGATTGGGCCAGCGCACTCAGCGCTCCCAAAATTGGCAATACAAATGTGTTGCGTTAGTAAAGGAATTCTTGTCTAAGCATCACTAATCAACAAAAATACTTCCACAAATTAAGCTGACATATTTCAATTGGGGCAAGCAAGTGCATCGATTGGTTTGCGCCCAGGGTATCTGATAGTCGGCGGCCTGGCCCAAAGCTGACAGCTCCTTGTTCCGCCGATGCTGGCAGCTCAGAGACGTCGCTGTCTGTTTACGAGAGTTTTATTTCGCATGCCACGCCAAACGGCGAACGGCGAACGGCAACTGCATGCGGCACAAAGCCTGACAATGCTGGATGCGGATGGCTGGGACTCTGCTGCTCAGCCTCTGACTTTGGCGCTGACTTTGGACTCAGGTTCAACATCCAACGGACAACATCCAACGGCCAACAGCCCACATCCCGCATCCCACATCGCACATTCAGCCTCGGATTTAGCCATGGAATCGGCTTGGCTTGGAGTTTTGGCCCTAGCTGCGATATGAGTTGTGGGTACTGGTACATCATCGTCATCGTCACATAGCGGCACTTCCATTTCTGTTTTTCCACCGCTTTTCCTGCTATTTTTTGCGGCATGTTCGGGCTCTGCTTTTTTCTGGGTTGCTGCCACTGCTGAATGTTTTTTGTTTGTTTTCGTTGGTCTGTCGACGGTTGTCGCATCTTT